GTAATTTAGGATCATCAGTGGACTCTGATGAATTCAACTCCGGAACAGTAGTGCAATTGATGAGCTTAGTGATAGAAGCCGGTCATGACGAGGTAAACTCATTAAGTTTGTCTTGGGATTGGAGAAACAAATACGTGCACTACCTTCAGAATGGGAAACTGCCTTTGGATCCTAAAGAATCGAGCGGCCATCGAACTAAATCTTCCAGGTTTTGCTTGATTGAAGGGAAATTGTACCGAAGGTCATTTTTCAGACCACTAGTTGGGGCCTGGGGAGACCGATTACATGATGAGGGAGGTACATGAGGGCACTTGCGAAAATCATTCGGGAGCGGAATCATTAGTTCGGAAATTGATCATGGCTGGGTATTACTGGAGCGAAATGGAGAAGGATGCGAAGGATTTTGTTCAAAAATGCAACGAATGTCAAAGGCATGCCCCGATGATCTACCAACCGGGAGAGTTGCTTCACCCGGTCCTTTCCCCTTGGCCATTCATGAAGTGGAGAATGGACATCGTAGGCCCTTTACCACGGGCACCCGAAAAAGCTCAGTAGATCTTGCTCATGACCGATTACTTATCTAAGTGGGTTGAAGCACAGGAGTTTGAGAAAGTTAGAGAAAAAGAGGTTATCAACTTCATCTGGGACAATATAGTCTGCCGGTTTGGGATACCAACTGAAATTGCGTGTGATAATGGAAGGCAATTTATCGGCAGCAAAGTCAATAAGTTCTTTGAAGATCACAGATCAAAAAGATTTTATCAACCCCTTATCACCCGAGCATGAACGGTCAGGCGCAATCGACAAACAAAATCAATGTATAACCCAAAAGTCTATAACATAAAACCCAAATTCTTGGCAAAATTTTACAGGGCCTTACAAACTTGGCAATTTTTGTACCTCATCTTACTTTTGTCTTTCTTCTTGTAAACCCATTTTTCTTTGGAATTTGGCTTGTTTCTTTTCTTGGAGGATCCTTCTCCGATCTCCTTACCTTTTTCGTTATTTTTTTTAGTTTCTCTCGCGCTTGAAGCTTGAACTCTTTGTACCACTTGATTCCATCTTCAAGCTCCACATGACGGGCAACAACAGCAAAATTTTTTATGCAATCATTGTAGGTCAAGTTAACCTTTAGATGTTTCCTATTATTGGGAAGAGATCGAATCATTGCTTGAACCTGGTGCTCATCAAAGAGAACATGACCAGAACTTTTGAGTTGCAATCATATTTGACTTCACCCTTAGATGTTACTTGACATGTGATCATGACGCTTTTTGTACGTGTCAAACTTGGTTGTCAGCTGTCTAAGGCGAGTCATAGTTGTACCACCATTTGCCTCTCTTAAATGTGCCCACATGGCTTGAGTAGTGGGATATTGCTCGCATTCGTGGATGAGACCATCAATAACTAAACTTACAATAATTCCACGTGCAGTGAAATTTTTCCTTTTCCTAAAATTATAATTTCCAGTTCCCTCCACTGTTTGGCAGTGTTACCCTCCTCTGGGTGACTCATAACATGGTTAATACTTTTAAGAACATCTTGCTCTTCAAGTACATACCACATCTTACGACTCCAAATTTCGTTATTTTTACCATTTAGTTTGTCACCCTTGTTCAAGTCAACAATAATACTTTTTGATGCCATGTCTGTTGTTGGAGACAATATTATAAGTTTAACTCACTAATATATACTTCAGTCAATTTATGCATGTGATTACACACTCAAGCAAATTAATTCTACATTTAGTATAAAATCGAAAGGTCACTACGTTTTCATTCATCGTCTATATTTTTATATTTTAATTAATATTAAAATCACTTTTTAGTGTGTGCTTCATTTTAAGTCTCAGTTTATTATAAAGTAAAATAATAGATAATACATGTAATTGGTGAGATAGACAACAAAACTTCAAATTTCATTAGAGTAAAACACATAATAATTTACATGTTTGCTATGACATACATATACCAACTAAATACTAAGTCTTGCACAGATACGCAAAAAGGCACACTAGGCCAAAAATGATGACAAATATCAGTTAACACTTCACCCCAAGGCTCTCGAAGTGACTGCTAAAATAGCTAATGTTTCCTAATTAGTAATCTTCATGTCGTTAGACAATTCAGCTCTTTTTAACTGAAAAAGGTGTACATGTTTAGGAATGGAAGCATTAGGGTGCATTTTAAATTCCTCAAACTCCCTAAATTTCTTTTCTCCTTTCCTTCGTTCAGCCCTTCGATCCGTTAACTCATTTCGCATCGCTCTTGGGACATTCCTGATGACTTCAGGCCCCGAGTCTGAATCATTATAGAAATAAGTCCTTCGGCGATGCATCCTTCTACGTTGTCCCTTTTCTCGACTTCGAAAACTCCCACTTGGAGTAATTCGAGCTTGTCCCTGTTCAACCATATCTGAAAGATGACCAAGAAAATAATAAAATTGACTACAACCATTAAATGACAACATATGTCACAATAACTCGTAAAAGTATATCAATGTATAGAATTATGGCCAAAATGATTAATTTCAAGGATAATAATGACTTAACTTAGTTTCTTTTTCTTAATTTAAGACGTGTTGATTGAATAGTTTCTTTTCTTAAGTTACAACGTGTTGATTGAACATTGATTCTTTGCGGAAAAATACAATACACGGATATAACTTTTTGGACAAAGCATTAGATCCTTACCGTCTTAACTTCAAAATTGGAATAAGTATAGAGGCAATCTCATGACCAAAGTCACAAACAAATAGATAGTTTCAATTTAATATACAACTACAAATAAAAGTGGTTTACAATTCCACAAAATGACAAAACTTTTATACGTAAATACATAGACTCCAGCAACGAACCTTTTTTTATAAGCTTTTGAAGATATGTTATATTCTCTGCAAGTATTTAATAACCCCACTCCAAACGCCATTAAAAAAATTATTGTCAAATAATAGATTAGTCTTAGTTTCTTTTAATTGCATATATCTAGTAATTAAGTAATGTCATTAAAGAAATAAATATCCGGATCCAACGAGGGTTAATATAAGTCAATTTCTCTAAGGAGTTTATGAAATATTTGTCCACTTATTACAATTGAAAATGGACGGTGCATTTAACTTTGGGAAAACCTAAATTACAGAGAGCATAAAAAAATAAAGGGATAATTGCATAAAAATACAGTCCGCATAGGTGCTTTTCATTCGCATAGCCATCATTTTAAGTTTTCATCCGTATAGCGCATGAGAGTCTCACAATATGACATCATCGTCTGGATATAACTTTACAGACCTCTATGTGATTTTTTATTCTTTGCACACAACCAACTTAAATCGATCATATACATTCCTATTGCAACTACAACAATGCAAACCAACTATAATGCAACTTGAAAAAAATTTAAATTTTCTTCTGTCCCAAGTTCTAAATAGCAGAAACAAAAGAAATAAAAAAAATTGAAAAAAATTGCTACAAATTCGCAATTTGGCAGAGAAATCAACAAAAGATTGACTTTATACATCGATTGTTCGAGAAAAAATAAGAAAAAATTTAATTTTAGTTTTAAGTCCACATATGTTGTACATGTATAAAATTGTATAACTTAGTATAAACTCGTATATGGAATGTATAATAATGTATTCCAGTATTTCACCAACACAGAAAAGCAAAATTAGCTTTAACTGCACATGTGAAAGAGGAACTTACTTCAAAGACAAAGACCACTGCACCAAAGTTAAACAGAAATCGCGAATAGAAGGAGTAATGTTGTATAACACTATTTACACACCTAATATACAATATTATACAATATTATACACTTATTATAATTGTGTATAATATTGTATAATATTGTATAATGATGTATAATGTTATATACGAAAAATAAATTTCACCTTCAATTTCCTTTTTCAACTGGTATGATTCTCAAAACCAATGTTAATCATGCTCAATCAACCCAGTACTCTAGATTCAAGTTACTAAAAGCTTTTCAATATTTGTAGCTTCACCCAAATAATTTCACCGATATTAATCAACACCCATTTGATTTTTCCACCAAAATACATCTTCCTCAGGTCTATTAAAAAAGCGCATAAATTGGATAGCTTAAAATCTCAGTCTTGAACTTCAATCTTGAAGAAATTTCAGCAAAAATCAAGAACCCAGTTCTTTTTCCAATTTTACCTCACCAAATTTGTTCTCAAAGAGTTGGAAAGTAGTCCAACTGAACCAACTCTCTAGGTTGAAGCTTCTTGGACTATTATCAATTAATTTCAATAGCACCCACTTGAATTTGAGCATGATTCTTTCATAAATTTTCATATCTGAAAAGCTTCTAACTCCCTCAACCTAATTTTTGGTTTGGATATCAAAATCTTGACTTCACAACGAACTCAGGAGAGGTGGCCGCTGGAGCGGAGAGAAGAAGAAGAGAAAATGTAGAAGAGATAGTGAAGATTGTTTGGGTTAAATATTGAAACTTTTATTTCAAGATATATAATATGGGCCTCAGCGTGTAAGATCCCAAAATATGGGCTCTTTATGATTATAGAACTGGGTGGGGTGATAATAAATTGAATTGTTCTATCTCAAGGTCTCTATGACAACAGGCTGCCGCAATTGGAAAATGATGCCAAAGAGTAGTCCTTTTCCTTTATCTCTCAGGCAATACCATATACGAGACTCCTTAAGGGAATTAAAACAGTCATTCATCACTTATTAAAAAAATCTCATTTCGATTTTAGATTGGTTTTCACGCCATAAAAAGAAATTCTACAATTATCAAAGAAAAGCACTTTCCACGATAGTGTCTGTTCAACCAAATTAATCAGAATAACACACGTTCTATTTTAATTGTGCATTCGAAGAACATGTAACTCGGCTTTGATACCATTATTAACCTAAATTACGGAGAAAGAGCAACAAATTGTATGTACCTTGTTACACGCAGCGAACACCGCTGTAATTGCTACCAAGAAAATTGCTCCCAAATCTACTTTGAATCACTAGAAAATAAAATTAATCTTTCACCAATTAAATTTCCTAATTTTTATGTTTTTCATATAGAGATGATCAGTCAGAGAGAAAAATTCCTACGTTGGAGAAGTTCTGTGTTTTCTCTTTAATATAAACAAGTAACAATACTAATACCGACTACTAAGTAGACACTAATACCAGACTTTCTAATCACAAATTAATTACTTGCTACTATATTACATTATACTTAACACAACACAAATAGCTGGAAGAAACCCTCATCATCTTTCATAAGAGCGTCCTTTTTCACTCTTTCATCGTCCTGGACGATGAGCACATTTTTGATGAGTCTTGGCTCCATATTTGCAACTCTAGCCAAAATCTTCACATATTCGACTGTAGTGACTACATGATAACTAAATTCGATTATTTCAGGACTAGCATCTGCTGTTCATTTAGAGCTTTGTGGTACTTACTAAGCAGTTCTTTTTCTTCATTGGACATGGATGCCAATTGCCTCAATGATTTCATCTAAACACAATCAAATAAATTAAGTCAAATTCCAAAAAAACACAATAACGATGTGGATGCAGGAGAAAAACGATTTTAGTATTACACAGTAATACTAAACGTTGTGTATTACAATTTTCAAGTACAAATTTCTAAAGGAAATAAGTTGACCTAAACGCTGACCATTAAGATCTACAGAGAGACAGAGATTAAAAAATATACCAGAATAGAGAAAATAAGAAACAAAGCAATAAGAACAGAGAATATGAATATACAGAAGCAAAGAATGAAAAACATAAAGAAAATAGAAGCAAAAATAAATAAAGTGATTATAATGGGGAAAATGAATATACATAGGTATTCAATGAAATACATATCAGAATAGAGAATAAGAAACAAATAATTAAGAATAGAGAGAAGCAAATGGAACGAACCTTCTGGAGTGATTTTGGTTGTTGCTTTCGATTGAAAATGGCGTGTGTGAAATAATGTCTATAAAATAGATACGAAGCCATAAAAATAGAGAGAAAGATCAGAACAGAGAATAATAATCAGAGGGATAAAAAAAGAGAGAAGGAATTGAATGAACCTTCTCGAGTTTGGTTGCTCCTTTCGATGTGAAAATGGCGTGTGTGAGAAATAATGTGTGACACTGGTTATTAATAGGTTGCGCTGGAAGTTTATGGAATGACCGCACTAATGTGGGCCTATGGGTCGTGGGATCCAACTCCTCTCCATTTCCTATTATGTCCATTTCTCCAAGTTCTTACTTGGATGGAAGACACATGTCATATTTATAAATTAATGGTTTAGATTTAATTAGCTAAGATAAGCCTTAACCATGATTAGATAAAACATATATTCTATATATTTGCTCTCGAAAGATTTGGTAATCCCATAATTCTAGGTACTAAGTTTTTATTATTTATTATCTTAGCACTTTATTCTAATATACAAGATCTTAGTACTACAGTAAATCAACAAGAATTAAGTTTTAAGCAATTAAAATTTTCGATATCCACATAGTTCTCAAAACATTCAAATTCACGTCATCTTCAATTTCTTTCTCCTACATGCCTTTATCCCTCTTCTCAACTACTTTCTCATGTTCCAACCAATTCTAGCAGCGTATTCTTTCGTAGTACTATTGATCAAATTTTTCCCAATGTTTATTGGTACAAAGAATTGAGAAACATCCTTAAATTTGAGATCTGATCACAAATCTACGTTTAAAAGGAGAAAGTAAGATACTAGCCACAATTCAAAACTCTCTAATACATGGTTCTACCATGACTAAAGCTTAATTTTTTAGTTAAAATTAGATTGAGTTCTTAAATAATTATCTCAAATGGTTTTTTTAAAAGGATAGTGAACTCCAGAATAACGAAAAAAAAATTGTGGAATAAAAAGGTAAATTTACTATGGCAGATTGCAACTTAAATTTTTTAAAGGGATTGATATGGTGGTAAAAAAAATTCGAGATAAATTTTGGCGTTTGGAGTTCGTAGGAGGGAGTATCAAATTTTCTGTAAATTATATATGGAATATCTATTATTTTAACCATGATTAGTGCCTTGTTTTAGATAATTCAATCTAGACCATTGATTTTCAAATGATATATTGTCTCTTATCCAAGTAAGACTTGGGAAATGGAGATAATAAGAAATGGAGAGGAGTCACCACCGGGTCGTGGACGAAACAAGCTCCGGGAATACAACCGTCAATGATTCCTACTTTTAACTCACCGCATATTATTGTGTATATCTCTTTCCTTTCTTTATATTATACTACTACTCGTACTCCCTCGATGCTCGGTCAGTATTAAAAAATATTAGTTAAATTAATTGTGATCGGGCTTGTTTGAACAAATTAGATCGTATTACTTTAATAAATGTCAATTATCCTTTTATTTGTTAATACGATATATCTAATAATAAAATCTCTATTAAATTAAAGGGACTTATATAGCCATTGAATAACTTTTTTGTTCTTTATTTTTCTTTGATATATTATCCAATGTTTAGTATTATTGCATTGTTAATAAAAAATTTATTAGCATATTACTTTATTTAATATTTTGTCTACTCACTTTCTTTTTGGAATATAAGAGAAGATATATATATTTTATTAATCTTGAAGTAACTTTTATTTTAAATTTTATTCTATTTTCTCAATAATATTATGTGAATTTTAATGAATAAACTCTCTATTAAATTAAAGGGACTTATATAGGTATCAAATAACTTTTCGTTCTGTTTTTTTATTATATTAACAATATCTAGTGTTATTACATTGTTAAAAAAAATTATTAGCATATCACATTGTTTAATATTTTTGTCTGTTACTTTTGTTTTGGTAGTATAATAGAAGATATATATTTTATTACTCTTGAAATATTTTTTTATTTTAAAATTTATTTCTATTATTCTCAATAATATTGTTTGAATTTTAATGAATAAAATCTCTATTAAATTAAAGGGACTTATATAGTCACCAAATAACATTTTTGTTATGTATTTTTCTTTATTATATTATCCATTGTTTAGTAAAATTGTATTGTAATAGAAATTTTTACTTGAAATATTTTTTATATTTTAAATTTTAATCTATTTTCAATATTTTGATTTAGTTATTTATTATTAATTAATTAAGAAATAAGTTATATGTGGCTTTTTTCTGGTTATGTCATATGGCTGAATTAGTTATTAGTTAATATATTACATGTAGCTAATTTTAAGTCTGTCACTTGGCTTAAGAAGAGGGCTTTTTTCTCTCCTTTTATATAGATTTGTGTAATATTTTGTCTACTGCCTTTCTTTTTGTAATATATATATATATATATATATATATATATATATATATATATATATATATATATAAAATATTTCCTTCGGCAACACTGGGTCTTTTACATTTCAGCATCTATTTGCAACTTTTATTTGTAGATAGCCCTTAATCCCTTAGCATAAAATTAGACATAATCTGGAGCATCCGTTCTCTCTAAGCACGAATGAGGCCCGATTTCGATGGTAACTCTGAGTAGTTCGTGGCTTCGAAATTTCGATAAAAAGTGAAGGCCTTTAAGATGCTTGAGTGTTTTTGTCATATACGACGGTGTTTTATCGAGGGTAACCCTTTAATAGGTTTTAATCATACATAAGGACCTTACTTTCCGAGTACGGACTTAGACGTCTCCGATCTGTTTTAGGTTGACCGTAGCCTTTCATGTTCGGGCCCTTACTAATAGGCTCAATGCCTCCGGAATGAGATAGCCCGGGCCATCCGATTTTTTATCGGGCGACAGTCCCCGAGTCGGGGTAGCCAGTGGGATCTAGGATGTAGGATCCGTTATCCGTGCTAAGTAATTCAACAGATGCATCGATGGTGCGAAATGTATAGTGATAAAATATAAAAAAACAAAGATTTCTTTCATTGTTTTGTATGTAGAGTACGTAATCGGAGGCGCATAAGCCTTTTGCCATGGCAAGAGTGAGCTACATGGGTACGGATCGTTTGACCATTTGACCCTTATAACGAATTCTAACTATGAAGCCTATTAAGTAATAACACCTTCTAAAGATCCTAGCCTAGTGGGTAATGGCCCCAATATTTGAGGCCGAACTTGTGAGGGCTCGAATACTGTTGGTTCGGTGCTTGTGATCAGTAACTCCGGCTTTAGGCCAGCCATCGAAACTATGCACATTTTACTGTTGCCTTGTTAAAAACCTTGCCGCAAAACCCGCTGCGGGAAAAAACCGGTTCAAGGAAAAAAGAGTAAAACACGTGCTTTCAGACCTAATAGTCACATTTGGGCATGATCGAGTACCTGCACAAGTTAGTCTATAATATAACGAATTTTAAATGGGAATTGTGCTTGTACCTTAGAAGTAGTACCTCTTTAAGTGTGCCACATTCCAGTTATTCGGTAGTTGTACACCGTTTTCGGACTCGAGTTTCTATGAACCTTTCTCGGTTATTCCTGAAACTCTATATGTCCTTCCCAATTCGGGCCTAGTTGTCGTTTGGTTTCCTGGTGTGTAGCATTACTTTCCTTAGCATCATGTCCCAATTTTAAATTGTCAAAAGTTAGCTCTTCGGTTGTAGTACCTCCCTACTCGTTTCTTTGGGCGGCCAACCAGACCAGGGCAGTTTCTCGCCTTTCATCCAATAAGTCGAGGCTCGATCATGATTAACGCTTTTGCGCCGTAGACTAGAGAGAATGAGTTGCTCTATTACTCGAATTCGAAGTTGTTCGGTATGCCCACGAGACGCCGGGCAAGATTTCCTTTCATTTTCCTTTTGAATCGATCACTCTCTTTTTCAAGTTTTGGAGTAGAGTTTTGTTCGTCGATACCACTTGACCGCTCCTACTAGGGAGGTAAGTTGTTGATGATATCTTTTTGATTTTGTGGTCTTCGAAAAATTTACTTACCTTGCTGCCGACAAATTATTTTCCGTTGTTCCAAACTATCTCGTCTGGTATCCCAAATTGACATNATATATATATATATATATATATATATATATATATATATATATATATATATATTATTACTCTTGAATTATTTTTTTTAGTTTAAGTTTTATTCTATTATTCTCAATAATAATATTTTATTACTCTTGAAATATTCTTTTATTTTAAATTCTATTGTATTTTCAATATTTTGATTTAGTTATTTATTATAAATTAATTAAGAAATAAGTTATATGTGGCTTTTTCTGGTTATGCCATATGGATGAATTAGTAGTTAATTAGTTAATACATTGCATGTGGCTAATTTTAAGGTTGCCACTTGACTTAAAGAGAGGGATTTTTCCTCTTCTTTTAATAATATATAAATATAGATATAGAATATATAGATAGGCAGGTTAAAAGCAGTTAAAGAAGATAATTTACCACCCTTTTGTATGTTTACTTTAGAGGGAGTTTTTTTTTTATTTTTTATCGTGTGGTAACTTCTAATAGAAATCACATCATTATCTATTTTCTCGAGACACATTGATGATTTTGCATCACAATAACGCATAGGGTACCTTTAAGTGTGCTGCTGAAAGAAATTACTATATTTTAAGAAAGTCTATACTTTAATTCTTCATCCCGAAGAGCCGTTGAACACACAACATATACACTTTGATAAGCTCTCTGCCAGCAAGAACCAGGGACTACCATCTATTTGTTGGCGTAACTTTTGATAAGTTCAAGTCCCTTCTCATTTTTATAAGCATCAATTGATAATTCATACACAGTTTAACGTTTTGATTAAGTGAATAAGAGTATTGTTCAGAGATAGTATGAACACTCTTTTTATTAAATGCAGAAAAGAACCAGTCCGGTAATGATGAAATTTGTGACAGCAAAACCAATAACTAAAGCCTAGTATGCTTCGTAGGCCTCAACGACTATTTTTGAGAGAAAAACCCGGGGATCATCGTTAGGTTGGAGCGTTGGGCTTAGTCTTAGTGGGATACTGGCCAGGGGATAACAAGTTGAAATTTTGGGGTGGATGATAACTTGGGCTAGGCAGTAAAGGAAGGTGTACTCAAATTTGAGAAATTTTCATAAAGCACTATCTTTTAGTAGTAATTAGCCATCTATAGATACCATTTGCTATATTACGAAAAATAGATACCTTTTCTGTGGTTA